AGGGTTTAGGGTTTAGGGTTTTAGGGTTTAGGGTACTCTGCTTTGTCGATTGAAGCAGCCAGGGGCTTAGACCACCAAGAGGAAAAAGAGGCCTTCGAGACCTCAAACACAACTCAGTGCGTGACCTGCGCGCTGAAGGCAACAAACGTTTTCACGAGTCAGACAGCTATTGAATCTACTGACCTGCACTGCGACTTGAACTAGAAACAAAGCCCATGGCCCAACCCACCCAAGCCAACAACTGCTCGAGCGCGCCTGCACACGGAAGGTGGCGCTTGGCTCTGAACATCGAGCAGATCTCACTGTCAGCCACACTTGCAGTCCTTGGGTGAGTTGCTTGCCGGGGGCCTCCTGGCCATGTCACTGTGCACTGTGTATATGGAAGGACTCTATAGCCAGCTTTCTTGCTTTCCTCTGAAGCTTTGTATTCCCTACATCCCCTTTTTGCATCCAGACCTGTGACAGATTGCTTTGGAGTTTGGAGCTGTCGCCCATACAGTCCCTGAAGGCCTTAACCAAAAAGTGTTGGACGGCACCCCGAAGAGTGACACGCACATAAACCCAGGCATGCAGCATGCACCAAAGTCAAGGGGAAGGGGCGGGAGAGGGAGGGAGAGAAGGGGGGGGAGAGAAGGGGGGGGAGAGAAGGAGGGGGAGAGAAGGGGGCACAAAAGGGGGGGGGAGAAGGGAGAAGTGGGGGGGGAGAAGGGGGGAGAAGCGGGGGGGAGAGGGGGTGCCTCTCACATTCGCAGGGTCTGGCAGGGGGCCGGGGGGGGGGGGGGGTGCCTTGGACGCTTAACGTCTATTCTGCGCGTGCTCTTTGTTTTCTTGGATTCTTCCCGAAAACCAATTCTGAAATTGGGTTCTCGTTTGGCGCTTCAATGCGGAAGGCGTTCTATCGGATCGCTTCTTGGAGGAGTTTTCACGGGAGGCCGCCGGGACGACACGGTCAAGGGAGGGGGTTCGGAACATTTTGCTGGGAGAGGGGCGTGGCGGGGAGCGTGACATTCGGTTGATGGGCAGGGGAATGGGGACACGTGGATGCCCCTGCATGCCCTCCGCGTTTGCAAGCCCTCCTCCGCGCCCTCCGCGCCCTCCCGACCCCCGCGCCTCCGCGACCAGCGCGCCCTCCGCGCCCTCCGCCCTCCGCCCTCGCGCTCCGCACGCTCCGCACGCTCCACACCCTCCGCGCCCTGCGCCCTCCGCACCTCCGCCCTCCGCGCCCTCCGCGCCCTCCGCGCCCTCCCCACCCTCCGCGCCCTCCGCGCCCTCCGCGCCCTCTGCGCTGTCCGCGCCCTCCGCGCCCTCCGCACCCTCCGCACCCTCCGCGCCCCCGCCCAGGACACAGTGCGCTGACAGGGTGCATAATTGCATCTATTCTGCGGGTGCGTTGCGTCTATTCTGCGGGTGTTTCCTTTGTAAAGCACGTGTTTACAAGGCACGCACGTGCAGCATAGCCTTTAAGTGTCCATCTTACGGGAGGGAGGAGGGGGGGGGGGGGGGGGGGGGGGGGGGGGGGGGGGGGGGGGGGGGGGGGAAGAACCTATGAAAACAAGTTCAATTGAATCAGGAACCCTAAAGATTAAAGCTAAAACCCACAAAACCCACAGAGCGATGCACAAAGCTGAGCCCTTACCACCAGCCACCGGCGGCTGCTGCAAAATCACTCGGCCCGGGATCCCTGAACAAGGAACGCAAAGAGTTTCACCTAAACCCTAAACCCTAAACCCTAAACCCTAAACCCTAAACCCTAAACCCTAAACCCTAAACCCTAAACCCTAAACCCTAAACCCTAAACCCTAAACCGAACATATCTTCGGAGGTGCGGATGGGCTCGTCAGCATATCCTGGCAAGCCCTTGGTGCAACGCGACTTGGAGCTGTTCGAGGTATTTCTTCGGGAGGGGTTCACAAGCGTTGCAGAGCAAGAACGTACAAGGGAGTTGTTGGGTATCCACGTTCCAGAAGGTCCTTTCCGCTGGTGCTCCGGTGAATGTTTGCCGACTGCAGTATGCACATTACCAGGATGGGCTATTGTACCCTAGAATCCCTTAAAAAGCCCAGGATGGGCTGTTATACCCTATAATCCCTTAAAAGGCCCTTTATAGGCTACTACACCCTAGCATCCCTTAAAAAGGGCCCTTTGTAGGGTTCATGATGGGGATTTTAAGGCCTATAATAGCCCATCCTGGTATAGAACACACAGGAAACTGCATCTTCAGGTTGCTGCACTCAGCAGAAAACAGAAAGAGGGTTTAGGGTTTAGGGTTTAGGATTTAGGGTTTAGGGTATGAGGCAACTGGATGGAGCACAGGGAACTCGAGAAATCTGGGTATGCGGCCATCGCTGCCGTCCACAAGCATCTGTCACTCACCTGAGCTCTGGATACTTTGAGCCCGTCGTGATGTCCCTGATGTGACAAAAAACAGGCTTGGCATCTAACACTCTCCGTCTCGATGAAACTCCTCGCCTAGAACCCATAAGAACTTAGATACCCAAGGCTCCAAGTAAGTTCCTCACCCGAAGCCTCTAAGCTAAGCCCTAAAGCACGACCCCCATGTCCTTGTAAACGCTCAACGAACATCGGCATGTTAACCTGAAACCCTAAACCCTAAACCCTAAACCATGAAAGCCCTGTAAGATGTGAGGGCTCCTCACTGAGCTCCGATTCTCCACCACACCCTCACTCTTTCACACCCTTCCTTCCCCCACTCAAAATGGTCGGTTTAGGGTTTAGGGTTGAGGGTTGAGGGTTTAGGGTTTAGGGTCTCCCTGATTCCCTGGAATCCAGAAACGCCCCGACCGAGCTCCCAAGGTCCCCATGCAAATGTTATTTTTTTTTCAGGATCTGCGCTCTAAACAGTGCTTTCGGTCTTGTGTTGGGCAGAAGCAACTTGGAGCCGCGGGGAGGAGACATGTTCAGGCCACAATCGCAACGACAACGGGGGCCCAACCCTAAACCCCAAACCCTGAACCCTAAGCCCTAAACCCTAAACCCTGAACCCTGGGCCCCTGAGTTGTGCGCAGGCTTTTCCTCCTGCGCAGCACCTTAGCTCTGGATGAGGGGGCCCGTGAATTCTCAACGGGTTCATGAGGTCGTGGTGACTTGTAGGAGGGGGACACTCAGGTTGCATGGTGTTGCAGCTTCGGGTCCTGTATTTGGGTTCAGGGTTTGGCGTCTAGGGTCTAGGGTTTAGGGTCTATGTAGGGTTTAGGGTTTTTCGGGATGGCTTCCGAGAGGATTGGGGCACCGTCGTGCAAGGCCGGAGGCCCTTGCGCAAAGGGAATCGCGGCTTAGGGATTTCGGGTCCTGATGTCTCTTCGGCTTGACTCTGCAGCCTGCGCGCACCTTAACACCCTGACCAGATGGGACACCAAACAAGCGATCCCTCACCGCAAGATCGGTGACCCCGACACTGACGCTGACATGCCGACAAAAAAAGCGACAGACTAAAGTGAGGTGACGTCCACTGCTGCCAAGAGAACCCACAAACTGCTCCCAACACACGACCACAAAAAATCAGCTGGTGGCCACTTTGCTGGCAAGCAGCGGTGCAGTTGAGACGCCACTACGTCCCGATCGATATCTCCGAGCCAAAGCAGCTGAGGATTCGAGCCCCTGCCCCCGGAAGACCTCCAGGCCCCCAACCCTAAACCCTAAACCCTAAACCCTAAACCCTAAACCCTAAACCCTAAACCCTAAACCCTAAACCCTAACCCTAAACCCTAAAGCATGTGGCCTCGCACCTTTAAGCAAACAGCCCAAAGCACCCGTTGATGGAAGCAGCAAATGGGCTTTTTGGTGTTGGATTCAACAGGCATGTTCCGCAGTGGGCCCAACGTAAACCCATCTGTCCAAAGTGCCTTGAACGAAAGGCCTTAAAAAACATGACAACCCCACAATCAGCCCGTTCTAGATTGTCTCAGATTTCGGAGTCGTACTTTTACGCCCTTGAGAAAGTCGCTCAACCGCCTTAACCCAAACACCCCCAATCCTTGAATTCCCAAGCTGGTCCTTGCGGATGGGGCCTGGCCCGCACCGCCACTTGGAATCTTGCTTCAGTATGCTATAACACTTGAAACCTGAGCTGAAGCCTGGGAACGCCGTACGATTAGGGTTTAGGGTTTGGGGTTTAGGGTTTCGGGTTTCGGGTTAGTCGCGACCTTATGCCTCTAATATTGTCAACTTCGGGCCCGACTCTCTTATACCTGCGAGAAAGCAACGAACACCAAGCTCGTGGACTCTCAAACTTCGAAACCTCTTCAAAATAAACCCCTCCCACTCTCGTCGGGGCCGAGGCAACAAGTGTCGCAGGTGCAGCCTTAGCGGTGGCGTTGTGGTATATGTGTTCCCACACCGTGTTAGGGCGTGAAGGTGTGCGAAGGATTTGGAGGGCTTCCGAGGGCTTAAGGCAAGGTGGTGCCTTTGAAACACTGAACCCTATAAACCCTAGCCCCTAGACCCTAAACCCAAAATTCTTCTGCTTTGTGTTCAGTAGCTGATCGTGCTTCTTGCAAAAAATGAGCGTGTGCGCACGCAGCTCTTCCAGGTGGAGCCACTTGCGAATGGCAAGGTGTAACAAGAAATGTGCACAAGGCATACAGGGCATACAGCAGGTGCTGCGCTTCAGAACTATCACTATCATCACACCCCTACTTCAAAGAAGCTTTGTTGGCAGCCGCTGCATCTTGTGGCCCTTCCTTTGTGGCCCGCGCTGATCGCCGCTGGCATCTTTGATGAACCTGATTGGGTTTAGGGTTTAGGGTTTAGGGTTTAGGGTTTAGGGTTTAGTGTTTAGTGTTTCTGGTTTAGGGTTTAGGGCTCACAAGCCTACCGGGTCGATCTGACTGCTGGAGATCTTTTTGCGGCGAATGCGTCCTAAGGCCCAAGTCCTCTACACCCTGAGGCCACAACCCTGCAGCCCCTAAACCCTAAACCCTAAACCCTAAACCGCTGAAAACACAGCACGGACTTGGGGCCTTTTTCCTCTCTGCAGGGCGTCAAGAGACACAGGCATCCAAGACCCTCAAGTTCAAGATGCGTTCGAGGGCTTCCGAGATCCCTTGCACGTGAAGGCTCCCGACCACCGCCACGATCCGCCGCCTCCCATTGCGGGCGGCCCTGTCGACACGGCTCTATAGGGTGTTTAGGGTTTTTGTTGGGGTTTCAGGGTTCTTGGGTTTGAGGGTTTACATTCATGTCGTCCATGCTTCGGGGGGAGTTTCAGAAATCAAGCGCTCAGGCTCCTACTAGGTCCTCGAGCTTCAACCTGGAAGAGTGCCACTCCTAGCCAAACCTTAAGGCTCCAAATAGCCCAAAGTAGGCATTATTTATAGTATAGACTTTAGACCCCAATGCAGGTGCCATTTGTCTACTTGGAGGGCTTAGGGAAGCAACAACCCGTCTCAGAGCAGGCGCCAGCCCGGACGACCGGGCCTGGCCAGGTTCGCCGCCATGTACTCATCTCCTTACCATTTCCGTAAGAACCCAGATCTTCCAAAACCCCTTAATTAAGGAATATTACCCTAATTTATACTAAGGATCCTTATTATGAATTGGAGCATATACCTTAATTAAGGGTTTTGGAAGGTCTGGGAATGCTGAGGTTGGACATGTCTTGAGGTAGAGGTGACATGTTCATCTTTCCACACCTATCTGTGCGAAGAAACCGGTAGCAGAGACAAGAGCAGCTAGAGAAATGGAAAATCATCAGCCGCCGGCTCTTGCAAAGCTGCTAGAACCATTGCGTCTGTGAGTCGAGTCGAGACACGGAGGCTCATGAAGCCCAACACCCATGACACGATCAGCTCTCTGGCATGTGTCTTCGCACACCTCCAGGACCCCAAACCTCAGAACCTTGAACTCTATCCCCAGCCCTGAGACCCAAAACCGCAATCCTTTTGCTTGGTAAAGCCCATCTTCGAAATTCTTACGGTTTGGCGGACAGGCAGCTCTCACCCACCAGTGCTGCGAAGAGCTCGGGGGCCGATGCCTTTGCTGGCAGACTCTCACTCGCACAAGGCAGGTGGCATCAGGTCTCAGACCGGTCGGCCCAATCATGCATGTCACTGCTCTAAAGGACTCATCTAAAGGGTTCTGATGTCCCGTGGTGTTCGGCCCAAAGGGTTTTGAAGTCCCATGCATGAAGGGGAACCCTCGTGGTGGGTCTCGGTCTGAGTCCGTGGCCACCGAGGGCATCTAACAGTGCCAGGTCAAGGGTGCTCAAGACGTGAGCCGAATGTCAACACGAAGAGAGCTTCGGGTGATTCTGAACGCATGACCGTGTTCTGATGGCATCTTCATCCCTAACTACTGGAGATTTCTTCCGGAGGCCTTGAACGCCCTGCGCAGCCGCTTCGCAGTGGCTTGATCGGTGGCACTGTCCACCAGCGCCTGCAAGTCAAGGTGTGTAGGACGCTGATGCGTGTGCTCCCTTCCACTCTGAACACTATATTGCTATAGTATTATATTGGACTTATATTCGTGTAGAAATAAGGTTTAGGGACTTTTGTTTAGGGTTTAAGGGCCCATCCTGACTCATGACTCCTGCCCACTTGCGCAGGTGCGGCCGGATAGCGGGGGTGGTGAAAGCGCTAGGGGGCTGCGTCAGGGAAATTGTGATCATGTCCTAGAAGCACAGAAGAGAGACGTCCTCATGGTGTATGGTGATGATATTGCAGCCCTGTTGAAAGTTCAGCGCGCTCAAAACCAAGACACCACAAACAGTCATCCGAGAGTATCAGTATCGGCCAGGCAGCTATCAAGACATGAGAAGGAGAGCAAGTCGCAATACGACGGCTCATAACCGAAAATCCTAAACCCTAAACCCTAAACCCTAAAATCCTTGTCCACACTCAGCCAACGAGACGTGTCGAACCATGCAGGCCCCTTTTGGCAACCCTTGGAAAACCGCTGATGTTCAATGCTGCTGTCGACAGGAGGTTGCGCAAAACCCTAAACCTAAAAACCCTATAAACTCTAAGCCCTAAACCCTAGCCCTAAACCCTAAACCCTAAACCCTATGAAACAGATTGTCCATGCCACCCCGCTTTCACTCACAAATGAATAAGTGGGTACCGGGTTCTCGAAGAGGGCCTGCAGGCCGAGGTCACTGGTGCGCAGTTCAGGCACCGAGATCGCCAGGTCCTGGTCTCGTGGTGGCTTCGATTTTTCGGGTGTTGAGGATGCGTAGGGTTTTTAGGGTTTTATCGGGTTTATAGGGCTTAGGGCTTGCGGGTTGTTGAGAGCTGTATGGGGCTCGTGCTGAAGATGCCCAGAGATGTGCATGATGCCGCAATGCCTTGGAGGCAGCTCGAGCAGTGCTGACACCCCCACTTTCTGAGTGCCGCATCCTTATTACCCAGATCTTCCAAAACCCCTTAACTAAGGTATATACCCTGATTCATAATAAGGATCCTTAGCATAAATTAGGGTATATTCCTTAATTAAAGGGTTTTGGAAGATCTGGGTAGGGTTTAGGGTTTAGGGCTCCCTGAACCATCCCATCCTGGGCACCTGTGGTCACCCTGATTGGATCTGGACAGAGTTGCAAACCCCGCACATGCACCAACATTGCCTCACTTTCGACAAGCATCTGGCTCGTCTTTGGCAACAACTCCGGCTTCTCAAGCTTCAAGTAAAGGTCCCCAAGCAAATTAACAAACTACCCTTGCAGCTGTAACAACTTCAGCAACCTAGGCATTGAGAGCCGGGTTGCTTCGGGTTCAGGAGTGCTTCAGGCATGGATTGGCACAGGTTCTAGGGTTCGGGCTGCGTATGATTGCAATTACTGCCTACCCGCCAAAGCAGTCCTGCTCCAGCTGCCCAAGGTCTGATGACTGTCCTGCCTCGACCAGTCGATTCAGCGTGTCCTCCCAAGCACAACCAGGCAACGGGCACTGCCAACTGTCAATGACAAACGAGTGATACTCGGGTGATAATTAGAACAGGGTTTTGGGGGTTATCAAGTCTAATTATGCAGGGGCCATAAGGGAATACTAGTAGTAACTATTCCGACCCTACCTATAGTGTTTGAGCCAAAAAATGTGCACAGGCTCATTTTCCGACCAATGCCTTTCAGAAGGGAGGCGACGACACACCAAACTGGGCTCCTGACCCGTTAAGCCTTTGAAAACGTGCACAGGTTGAAAACTGCATCTTGGACACAGCAACTTCTACAGTGTCACCCGTCCCCCCAACCCCAAACCCCCAAACCCCCAAACCCCCAAACCCCCAAACCCTGAACCCTGAACCCTGAACCCTAAACCCTAAACCCTAAACTCCATAGGGGGTGCTGGAAACCCTTGCACCTGCGCCGGGCGATCTCCAAGCATCACAGGAGCACCGACCTTCGCCGCCTCCTGCAGATGCACTGTGGGGATGGAGGCCTGGAACCCTGGGTTTGGGGTTTAGGGTTTAGGGTTTAGGGTTTAGGGTTTAGGGTTTAGGGCTACTTTTCAACCTTAGGGGATCGGATGAGGTGGGGACCCTTAGGGGTTTAGACCCTCTGAATAAGGTCCCTGTTTCTAAGAGAGCCAGAAGAGGCTTCAGAAGGGTTCCCTTTGAAGGGCCCCCCTTATCCTACCTAGGAAACCTGGACTCCCCAGGCCGATAGAAGCACCCTAAACCCTTTTGCAACAGAACCCTAAACCCTAAACCTGTTCATGTTCGCCACTTCCATGGACTCACTTCTGAGCTCAAGGATGTCAAACTCGCAACAGCAGAGGCATTCTTAGCTTAAGCCCTGAGCATAAGTAAGCCATCACAGGGCGACCGCCGCGGTTGGGAATCTCTTGACGAATACGCAACAGCATGCATCTTTAGCCCCGACCGCTCATTGCCAGGTCGTGTACCGCGAGCTGTTCCCGAACTGTTGCACACGCTCTCTCAAGACCATCTGCGGGCTTCGAGTTGCTTCTCGCCGGAACGCCACGTAGTGACGCATGTCCAGCGACGGGACGCCAGTCCAAGGTGCCTCGAGACACAGAGGACGACACGCGGGGCCTTGACTCCACGTGAGCTTCGACGCCACGTTGTGACGCCAGGTTTGGTGCGTGCTGTTGACGGAAGCTGTTGGCCCGACCGAGCGTCTGACGCCCGGTGGCAGCAGCCCGTGAACTGAACTGCAGGGCTCTTTTGCTCACCTTCGCCCAGTAGCAGAGTCAACCATCGGACGTGGCAAGCAGCCTACTTGCTGCGGTTGTCGAGAGGTTTAAGGACAACCCCGAGGCTTTAGCCTCACATCAAAGACAACCTGCCCCATACGACTCCTCGACAGCAGCCAACATCTCCGTGCCAGCAGGAGTGTTGAGATACCTTACGTTCTGCTTTTGTCGTACCAAGTTCCATGGCACTTCTAGGATGCCATACTCAAAGTTCGAGGGGACGTGTGAGAAGGCGAAAGGTACCAGCACAAGCAACGCAACCATGTCTCTTTCATCCCAGTTGCTTCTCGAATGCTCGGTAAATCCTTAGAATTTCAGCTCCATGCATCGCATGAGGCATTGGGCATCTCCCTCCAGAAACTGCGCCCCAAACACAGCCGCCGCCCCCGCGAAATCTGCTAAAGGTGAGGGATCCCAACAACAAGAGATGAGGATCAAGCCCCGGGATCAACATCAAACAGGGATCAAACAAAAATCAAACATGCAACGTTTCTACCTTTCTGCAGGCTCTAGAAATTTTGTAACGTACAGCTGCTCTGCCTCTTCGCAGGCACCAAACAGTGTAAAGTACAGCCTGTCTGCCTTCTCGAAGGCTGCAAATGCTATGCCATACATCGTTGCTGCATAAGCGCAAGCTACAGTACAGGCTCACAAGCTCCAGAGACGGTAACTTACTGCATTTCCTCCTACAAGGAGGTAGGTTAAGTCGTATCTTCTTGTGTAAAGTCGTATCTCGGGCGCGTGCATACTGCTGATTCGCGAATTCCAAGATTGGTCAGAACCCACTTGCACCCCCAAGCAGAAATCTCATTCACGCTGACAAAAATGTGCTCCCCTCCCAGGCGTGCGGTGACAAGTGCGTATTTTGCATGTTTGTCGAGAACATGCGCGTGCGGCGCGTGCACATTGGGGGAAAGGCTTCAACGTATGTCTCTGTGATGCGACTTTACGCGCGGTGATGCGACTTCGCTCGCAGCCGCGTGTCACTGGGGAGATGTGACTTCACACGCAAAAATGTGACTTAACCTAGCTCCTTGTATTTGCACACTGCGACTACGGTAAATCACAGCAGCTCTGCCTCTTTTCCGGCTTCCAACGCGCAAAAGTATGGCTTGGCGTTGGCTCCTTTCCTGCCTGTCTTCCTTCTCTTGGTAGCCCAGCAACCATATTTCAGGGTACCCTCGTTAGGTTGGTTACTTTACAAAGGGAACCTTTGAACTTGAAAATGGGGCAAAGTAGGGCACCTCTGGGCTACCAAGTCCATGGAAGCACTTGATGTTTTGCCTGATTTTTTATGTGATTTTTAATTGGTACCCTTTGATATTCATTGATTCCTACTTGATTTTTAAGCACTTTATGTTTTGCCGGGTCCCATGTGATTTTAATTGGTACCCCCTTTGATGTTTATGGATTCCTACTTGTTGTGTTTTGATACCTTCTTGACTTTGCCAAGGCTTGAATCTTTAGACCCTAAACTTAACCTGGGGGCTGCAGCACAGAGGAAAGGGTTTAGGGTTTATGGGGTAGTCAAGGACTTACGTCTTTTACTTCAACTCAAGACTTAATGCGCTCAATGACAACGACGCGTTTAAGGAATTTATGCCTGCACTCAGCTGCACTCATGAAATCAATTCGCTTGGCCCTGCATCATGCATGGAAGGAAAAAAGCCTCCTTTCACTCAGCCACTGCAGATTGGGGTCCCACAGGTTTGGATGGGTGTTGCCTCCCAATTCCTTTTCGTGCCATGCTGATGAGGGTCTTCGCCGGTACTTATGTGTAGATAAGCACCAGCCCCAACACGAAAATACAAGTGCACCCTCACATCCCGAGCCGGGCAAGGTGCCTGGCAACCGAACCTGTGCAGCCCTGTAAATCATTGCAAAAACCTCCGCAACCGCCCAAAGCAGGGCAGTGTCAACAAGGCTCATATCTAGTCCGAAGCGAAGAACTCCCGCGGCCATGCCCAATGCCGCGTCGGTGGTGGCTTTCCTTTCTTCGCCCAAGCCCTCTAGGTTTCGGCAACCGCAGGGTTTAGGGTTTTAGGGTTTAGGGCCTTCTGAAGGATGTTGCGTTTCAGATTACAGGCTTATCTACATTTGGGATCTCTCCAGCGGCTGTAGCTGCGAGCTGCGACAGGACTCTTTGCTTAGCAAGGGCTCTCTGGTGAGAACGTGAACTTGGTTGCTCTTTAACCCCCCAATTAAAGTTTAACTCTTACTTCCCTGAATATGAAATTAGAGGAACCCTAAACTTATAAAGTGATAAAGTTGTAGTAAAGTCCCACCTACTGAACATCGATCCACAGGAGCCTGATACATGCCAATTCACAGAACAAGATGTGTCAACTGACAGCTGAAAGCTACAAATCTTGCATATGTGTTTTGAAGGGCCACTCCGCCCAAACCAACCGAAGACCACTCATCCCAAACAACTACTTTTCCAGACCAACGGCCTTGCAGAAGTGAAAAAGTCCGAAGGCGCCTTGGGTCAGGAATTGCGCGTGCAAGGGTTTGCAGTTCAACCCGTGTGGCTCCGAGATCGTCAGGTCGTGAGAACACCCCGCGGTGAAAACTCTAAGCCCCCACCACGCTTCACAACAAACACAAGTGTCGACACCCATGCATCTGATAGACATGCGTGTCTACCAAGCAAGCGGCCGACATGAAGGTGACTGCTCGGAACGTGCTTGTTCGTTTTTTTTCCTGAGCCCCAAGGCTCCAACAAGCCCCTAAACCCTAAACCCTAAACTCTAAACCCTAAACCCTAAACCCTAAACCCTAGACCCTAGACCTAGACCCTAGAACCCAAACCCCAGACCCCAAACCCTAAACCCTAAACCGCAAACCAAATCCCTAAACCCTAAACAAGCCCCGAATCTTCCTCCTGCTGGCCTCTGGCGCAGCAGCCTTGGCAGCGCGCGTGGAATTCCTGGCGAGGCCTGCTCATGAGAGAGTGGGTGGAAGCGGGGCTGATGTCGAAGGTATTCCTCACATCTTCTAAACTGCATTCATCGTATTCTAGTGATGCTCTCCTGGTGCGCTGCGTTATTCGGCATTGTGTTGGGGCTCAGGCCTTGATTGCGGCTTGTTGGGGACTGGTTTGAGGCTGTTCGACCCCGAAGTATCCGGTTGTACGATTCTGGGCTCAGGGTCGAAGACCTGCTCTCTCACTAGAACCAAGTAAGCCCGCGGATGCGGTCACACAGACATTGAATAATCGGGCAGTCCTGCTACGCGACTCGCGTCCAACTCGACCATCACCATATCCGGCGATGCTTTTTGCACCACGCTGCGCACCACTTGGGCAGACTTGTTGCTGAGGTGCGTGACGCCCAGGACGAAGACGTCACCTCATGCAGAGAATGCATCTGCAAATATTCAGCAGCCTGTCATATGCGCATGCCATGCGCGCTGCAGAAGCTGCTGTTGCAGCAGGAAGGGGAATTCACTACGACTTGTGCAAAAGACTTGAGTCATGAGTCACAATAGTCTCGTCAACCACGGCCCACAATCTGAGCTTCGCCTGAAACGGCCAAACTTTTACAGGGCAAATCCCGAGTCCCCGCCTGAGGTGCCCTGCAGATGCACCAGTGCCCCGGAGGGGCAAAGTCGATCCTCCTGAAATTAGGGTTTAGGGTTTAGGGTTTAGGGTTTAGGGTTTAGGGTTTAGGGCTTTGTGTTTATGAAGCCGAGTGCTTTTCATGTCGGTGGGCAGCGTTGCAGAGACCAAGCGGCGTGGGACAAGATAGGGCATCAAAGACCTCCGTGTTGAGGCCGTGAGAAGAACCAAGAGCCAACTCCCCTGTGGAAGCCATACTATCTGATAGTAACTATCACCTTAGAATTTTTAAAATAAGCCCTAAGCCCTAAACCCTAAACCCTAAACCCTCAACATGCCCTGCAGGCCCCAAAGCAGTCCCCATGGGCAGTTGGCGTCGGAAGTGCCAGACCTGCTGCGGCCAGTAGCGCTCGCCGGGGCCTTGGCGAACTTAGAGGATAATGTAGGGGGGCTTATAATAGTAAGTATAGTTAGTACAATTAGTATAATTGTATAGGGAATATAATTAAGGGAATACTCTCTTGTAAGATCTGCTAACTGCAGAGAAACACCGTCAAAGCACGTCCGAGAGCGAAGACTGACCCACTTGCCCTGCTGTCTCCCTTTCCATCCCCTGCGGACATGTAGGATGTAGGGTTTAGGGCTTAGGGTTTGGACGGCAGACCTCTGGTTGGGGAAGGGACACGAGAAGGTTTAGACTATAGAATGCCGCTGAACGGTTTTAAGCCAGTTCGGAGTGGCGCTGCAAGAGAAACTGAGCGCCGATGGGGTTGAAATTACCTTACAAAGTGCGGCTAAGTACGTGAACGCCCAAAGTCGTCTCATCCCAGGCCGGGCTATTCTACCCTCTATCCCCTTGAAAAGGCCCTTTACTGTGTTCATTATGGGGATTCTGGGGCCTAATAGCCCATCATCCCATCCTGGTCTGCAGAATCGGAGCAGGGGAGGCGCCGCCCACGCAGAATGCGGAGCGCGGGGAGCACAGAGAAAGCAGAGTGCAGCTGCCAGCAAAAGCCGAGCACCTCGTGGTCCTGGCCCAAGGCAAAGGCTAAAACCTTTGGTGTCCGGAAGAATCGGGGGGTTTAGGGTTTAGGGTTTAGGGTTTAGGGGTTATTTGCGCGTGCTGCCTAAGGAGTTTCGTTCACGTGCTGAAATTTTGAAGCATAACTTGATTCATGTGGTTGGAATGTAGATGGATGCGATTCCGCTTACAATTTCGCTGAACGAAATGGATGCGCCCCGGTCGCCCCTGCTTTCTAGCTTTTCCGGGAGCTAGGTGCTGCAAGGGTTGCCGGGTACTTTGCCTCGAGCCCGACGGGAGCAACATGAACAGCTCAGCATCGCACCGAGAGGTGTGAAGCCATGAGGTGAGAGTTCTCACAGCTATCTGCCCAGAGACTTCAAAACTCATGAATTGAGGAATATACCTTAAATCATATTAGGGTTCCAATTATAATTTAAGGGATATTCCTTGGGTTTTGGATTCTCTGGGTGTATTCCCCTCTCCGCCCGCCCCCCCCCCCCCCCAAATTTGCGCTGAACTTGTGTGATGGACGACCAGGTGCGCTCCAATCTTCAGGTGATGTCATGCCTCCTTTGGTTTGCACTAAGACTCTCCCAGAATTGATTTTGTCTTTCGTAGCAGATGTGCCGCGCAAGGGGCGCTGCGTTTTGCGATGTCACAATCAAAAGTCTCCCTCTCCCTCACTCACACTCTCTCTCCCTCTTTCTCTCTCTCTCTCTCTCTTTCTCTCTCTCTCTCTCTCTCTCTCTCTCTCTCTCTCTCTCTCGTTCGTCTATCATATACAACAGCCACAACAGTTATCGTTCAGAAAGCAGACTCAGCACTAGCCTCAAGAATATCAAGAATCGAGCGGCCTGTTGCCTACAACAGGCCCCAACATCGCATGCCAGGCTCCACAAAGACTCTAAACCCTAAACCCTAAACCCTAAACCCTAAACCCTAAACCCTAAACCCTAAACCCTAAACCCTAAACCCTAAACCCTAAACCCTAAACCCTAAACCCTAAACCCTCCTCTCCGGCAATGGGGGCCTTTGCGGCACCGGCATGCTCGGGAGCCGTCCGCCATGGCGCTTGGAAGCCCCGTTTGCTTACAAGAAATCGGGCGCCGCAATCTGGTAGAAGGCCTTGGGATGCTAGTAGAGGGGGCCTTAATAATTAGAATAGTGTTGGGGGGGGGGGGGGGTTATGATAGTATGTTTATAGAGGGACCTAAGGGGATATTATTAGTAGTAATTACTCCGGCCCCTATAGCACACGTTGAAGCAACAAGCCATGTTGTGCAGGTAGAGCCACGAAGCTGGCGAACACTAGGTCACTAGGCATTCTCTGCCAGCGACTTGAAGCTTTTCGAAGACCTCAGGGTTTTGGTCTGAGACGGGAACATCATTTGTTCACAATGGGTCGGCTTTGGGATGTTCCCCCATATACGAAGAGTCCTTCATAGGAATGAGAATAGAGGTACGATAATCCCGATTAAGATTAAGGGCTGTTAGTCATTCCAAGGTTGGCTTCTCATCACCTTAGCTCCTGGACCCTTGCCCTTGCTGGGCAACTAATCTCCCCAAACTCCCAAACGAGCAAGCGACTCGGGACTTCAGCATTTTGGGGGATCAATGGCTTCCTTTGGGCCAAAGGCTTAAACAATGCTGGTCCGTTCGGGTTCCCAAGTGCTGAGGTGAAACTTAGGGATTTGGAGGGCTTTTCGGCCTAAGACCGAAGGCCTTAGCTTGGGACGCTGCAACACCCTAAACTTCCTGTTGGTTAGTGGGGAATGGGGGAATGAGGAACCCTATAGAATCCCTTAAACGGTACATATAGGACCCGCACTCCCCTTCTAACCAACAGTAGAGCACGAGAGTCCATAAACCCACGCTCAAAAAATATGGGAGATTGCTAGGCGGGCGGCTTTTCTTCTTCTTCTTCTGCAGAGCTCGATCTTTTTTGTTCTGTCGTCAGCACCAAACACCCCCAACTAACACTACTTTCAGCTGAAGACCGAGGACGTAAAGGACGTAAGCTATGCTATGAGAGACTGTCTCGGACCCCCGACTCTCCCCCGCCAAAGGGGTGCTGAGCTGTCTACAGCTTCAGATTCCATGAGCTTCTGCATCTCTCCCAACGAGGCGTCTGTTCGCCTGGCACAGTCACTCCTTGTACTCCTGATTGAAGAACCTCGGTGTCAGGACAACCCAAAGCCTCGGGAAGCTAACTTCAGTGCTAAGGTTAAACGCATACCTTAACGCGGCAGTCTGTTCCTTGACACACGCATTCCACCTTTTTTTCGCAACCACAAGCTCTATCACGCAGGCGCTGGTATGCCTATTGTTGGGAGGGCGAATCCGACGCCTTGTGCAGGCATGTTGCTCGGAGGACAATGCCACGGCGGCCTCCCGAGCACCCAGCCGGCAAGGCCATGTTTTGTTTCAAAAGGGTTTAGGGTAAAGAGTTTAGGGTTTAGGGGTTTAGGGTTTAGGGCTTAGGGTTGTAGAGGAGTTTGTGGGCTAGTTTGAAACTTCGCCTTGCTCTGGGTCCCCGCAATGAAGACATGAACGTGGCTTCGGCCACGTGTGTATGTAGGCAACTGAAGCAAACAGCGCAGAGCAGAGCGCAAAATTTTTGCTGCAGTACCTTGTGAAAGCTCGATTGCTCAATCCGACCGTGCCATGATCGTATGACCCATTCCGATTCCTGTTGAACGTCGGCACTGAACCTTCACGAAAGTTATCTCAAAAACTCAACCTGACATCGAGAGTTCGAACTGCAGGCGGCAGATCAGGGGAAGTAAAGGTCGCACTGGGTTGGGGTCGACATGAACCCCCAAAATGGGGGGGGGGTTAATACCCTATACTACTATAATTCCTAGTAAGGTAATATGGACCACAAACCTTTTTAGGGTTCAAATGTGGTCCCCAAGGTGGGTGGGGGTCCATAAACCCTAAACCCTAAACCCTAAACCCTAAACCCTAAACCCTAAACGTCCAGAGCCGCCTCTGGCCGCATGCTTGGATCGTGGATGAGGAGGTCGCGGACGAATGCAACAAATGCCTTCAGGGAGGTCCCAAGCTCAACGGGTTTAGGGTTTAGGGTTTAGGGTTTAGGGTTTAGGGTTTAGGGTTTAGGGTTTAGGGTTTAGTTCCACATGGTTTTACATCTTGGAAGATCAAGCAGCTCGAGTGGTTGTACTGGGCTTGTGGTGTAGTAGGGCCCTGAGCCCCTCGCAGCTCGCATGGATCCTATTCCCGATGCATGCCGTGGTACGTATTCTGCAAGTTCAGGTTTGTGCTTCCATTTATTGGGCATCTGCGTTGCTACAAGCCCAGGCACCCCTGAAGTCAACCCCCTCCGGTGGCTGAACCTGATGGTCTTGCGGCGCCCGGTTCTCCAGCGACCACTGCTGAAAGACGTACCTTGCTGAGAAGTCGGGCTTTCAGGCTGTGACACGTTTCTGAAGTCCTGTGGTGTTCTCAACAACTTGTGCCCTTCTCTTGAGAAGCTCCTCTTCCAGGTTCAGGGGTGGAGGAAAGCAGAGGCAGCATGGGGCTAAGCTTCCGTGTCCAAATCTGCAGCCCCTTTGCACGACTATGGATGTCCTAAGCGCTAGAAGGAAACATGAACAGCAGGGTGAAAACACATATGAAACTCACAGACACATGCGAGCTTCCATGTTAGGAGATAGCGCGGCACGTAGCTCGATATCCTGAGACGGTGTTAAACCCCTAGACCTCAAACTCGTCATACCCTTAACCCAACCCCATGGAACAATTGTTGCTCATCACTAAGCCTACGCCCCTTCTCTTACACCCTCTTGCCAACCGGCCTAGGTAACAATGGGGCCTTAATGGGTAGAATAGCGGTTTTGGGGGTACTATAGTATATTCATAAAGGGACCATTAGGGAATACCATCAGGAATTCTTCCGCCCCCTATGGTATGGCAAACCCTAAACCCTAAACCCTAAACCCTAAACCCTAAACCCTAAACCCTAAACCCTAAACCCTAAACCCTCAGTTGACTCCACGGCACCTCTCCGACTCCGGCGACTCTGCAGCCTTGCTTGGAGGTTCTTTGGGGGCGTTTAGGGTTTAGGGTTTCTAGGGTTTAGGGTTTAGGGTTTAGGGTTTAGGGTTTAGGGTTTAGGGTTTAGGGTTTAGGGTTTAGGGTTTAGGGGTAGCCCAGTAACCATATGGGGTTGTATAAAAACCCCGTTATAAATCTACTCATCCGGTCTAGGGTTATCGTTTTTTTTCTTGATTATCGTTTTACAGGGTTTGGTGGAAGAGCCTACAACTTCAAATTGGGATTATCGTTTTACAGGGTTTGGTGGAAGAGCCTACAACTTCAGATTGGGGCGCGACACCCTGTCCCCAACAAGCCCTCCTGAAATGCCTTATTGTCTCCTTTCACAGGCCTCAATACCCCTAGGAAACTTCGACTTCGTGTGGAGCCGAGAGCACAACCCCTCCACCCTGCAAAGAGCCTGCTCGCAACTACATACCCGCACTGTCAGTAGCAAGGATCAAGTGGTTCGAGGAGGGCTGAGGTTGGGGATCTTACCGAATCCGGACCCTGAACACAACAGGCACCCTAGCCCAGCACAAGACGCAACGATCTCTCTTTTCAAAGGTGGTGGTAGAAACAGCCAGAATCTATAAGGGCACCCTTTTTTGGGGTTGGTTACTTTATGAGGGAACCTTGAGCCAAAAAAAGGGAAAGGGTACCACTGGGCTGCCAAGCGATTCTTCTGAACCAATTACAACTGGACTTATCACCCACTTATGAGCCCCCAGAAGTGCCCTTATATGGTTAGAAGTACAGTTATAAGTACAGTTATACTTGGCTAATAGCTTTGTGGGGCTCACAGCCCTGAACTGGGCTGCAGCTAGGCTGTCTCTGTGAGCAACTGAGGGTTTCGGGTTGGGGTTTGGGGCTAAGGATTTAGGGTTGAAATTTAAGGCTTAAGGTTTTGGTAGGGATTGGAGGCTTGTGAGGTGACAGAATCGGAACAACTTCCGCACCAAGCGGGCCCACGACAACGTACTGTCGTGCCCTTCTGGCACACAGTCGCCACAGAAACATTCAGCACTAGAACGCAACCGAGCGCTCCGCTACCATGATTTGATATTTGCCACGCACGTAATTTCCTTGAGCAACAAGTTCATGTCGTAGAAGGTAGGGTACGCATCCCATTTAGGAATCAAGCCAAAAAGGCTGAACCTAGCAGCCCTAAAGCAACTAACTCTGGATCCTAATGTTGAAGCCCTGATTCCTAGCCGTTGAATGAAGAACACACTGTGGGTGTGGAACTTAAATGGACGGGGATCCACCTCTACACTCCATGTAGTGTAAACCCCTAAACCCTAAAACCCTAAAACACTAAAACCCTAAAACCCTAAAACCCTAAAACCCTAAAACCCCAAATCCCCAAAAGGCACCTTCGGCCCAAGCTCAAGCGCCCCGGCCTCTGGCCACAGCAGCCGCTTCCCCGAGGGCGCCAAGAAACGCTTCTTGGCCTGTTGGCCGGCGATCATTGGGGGGTTTAGGGTTTAGGGTTTCGGGGTTCGGGGTTAGAGTTTCGGGGGTTTCCGAAAGTAAGGGCCTTAATAATTAGAATAGGGTTTTGGGGCTTGTTGTGGTATCAGTATGTATGGAAGATGGGGGTTTCCGAAATTAGGGGGTTGCCGAAATTAGGGTCCTGATTACGAGGGGATCTTACTATGTGGGGATCTATATTGGGGATCCCGTGTTTTTTTCGTAAACCCCCCTTTTGTGATGTCCCGACACACACCCACAAATCCCAAGTTAATGAATTGAAGGGATTTGGATGTCTGTGGCTCAGGAATCTGGAGGCCAAAGGCAAAAAGGCCCTCCATGTCACAGCTGGAGGCGCCTTGTCGCCGGCGCGGGCCAGCATTGTGCTCGGAAAAGGTCCGAGAATTCGATCCTGGAGTACACTCTTACAAGTCATCACCTCCCAAGCGCTCTCGTTGTGGGGGGTTACGAGATTAGGGGAACCTAATTGGGGTCCTTCTCATAAGGGGATCCTACTATTTGGGGGTGTTTAGTGGCCCCTGATTATCGTAAACCCCCATATGCGTACCTCTGGAATAGAACGGAATCCTGCTTCAAAAAGCCTGAATTAAGGCCTTGACAACAGAGTCTAACAGCTCGGAACATTAAGGCCGGTCGATGACTCCTTCTCCGAGCCCTTTTAGGGTTTAGGGTTTAGCCATCCTTTCAGACACTGGAGCAGCAGCCAAAAGCCCGTGGTGCTGGGTCAACCTCCCCCTTTGCAAGTGCTTCTTCCCTGCTGCGCCAAGGTTTGGGGGGGAAGCCACTCGCCTTGCGGAGCAAATCATACGGAGGAGAGGAGAAAAAGCCCGACTCGAGTAGCCCAAGAACAGAAAATCTGGAAGGCTGAGATGGCCCCGCACTTCTCTTATCCATCAGCCCCCCAAGTTGGTAGCACCCCAGGTCTTCCCGCAGGTCTGGCATGTTCCCCGATGTCCCTTTTCGCGCGCATTTCTTGCACCCAGCTTCGTCTTCTTAGCGTTACAGAATCAGAAGGCATGGCAAGCCACGGGGGCAAGAGACGGCTGGTTACAAAGGTGAAGCAGGGTAGGAAGATAAGCAAGAACATGGGGAGCGCAGACAAAACCAAATGCAGGGTCAGGGCAGCAGAAGCATGGTTTCAGGCCAAGAGCGGAGCTCAAACTGCCATGCTGCAGCACAGTGGGGGGATGTTTGAGGTCGGCTCGCGGCGAGTGAGGCGCGTGAACTTTTGAGGAGGGCGTGGGAGGATTTCAGGCGGCTCAGGGGATGCAGGAGGGAGCCAGTCACCCACCCTCTATCCAGAACCAGGCGCGATGAGGCCCAGATGCTCCGGGCTGTGATGTGTGTCAAAAAGCACCTCGGAAGTTGGTCACCCTAAACCCTAAACCCTAAACCCTAAACCCTAAACCCTAAACCCTAAACCCTAAACCCTAAACCCTAAACCCTAAGCCTTCCGGAGCCCCCAGGGTTGAGAGTCGAGGTGCAAGGTTCCTCTGCACAAAACATAGATAGCTTGACCTGCGCATCCAGACATGCGGCACTTCCTCTTAGTTGTCCAGTACCTAGGGGTTTTAAAGGTACCTTTGGGATTATAAGGGGAATATAGTAACCCAGAAAGGTTAAAGGTTACCTACTCTACTACTAAGTCCTTCTTAAGCCAGCCATGCGCCCTTGCTCTGCCGGGGCACGCTTCCAGTGTAGAGCTCAAAGAGGATACACCCTAAGCTCCAGATGTCCGCCTTCTCACTCCAGCCCATCTGGAGGATCCTTGGCTTGGATTTTCGATTCCAAAGGAGCCTTGCTTAGTCCTGAGGCGCGCCGGGCAAACAGGTTGCCTTCTTACCATCACATCAACCTTGGGGTCGTTTTGACGACGTTAATCCGAGAAAATAAACACCAGCCTCTTGCTGTAGGAATAAACCCTAAACCCTAAACCCTAATTTGAACCCAGACTCTGTAAGTCAGCTGGCACGATGACACTTGCATCGCTTACCCTCAACCCTAAACCCTAAACCCTTCAAGCGTCTCGCGCCTCTTCAACAACTGTTCGGAGGGCGACGATCGGAGGAGCTCGACCTCCCCCTGAATTTCAACTTCAAGCTTCCTGACGCCGGAGTATAGGGTTTAGGGTTTAGGGTTTAGGGATGCTAGAAACTAGCCGAGCATCACTTCGGGCGAGCGGTACTGCCGCGTCTGGATGATGCTGGAGTGGTGCATGTCCACCTTGGTGTTGGGCTCAAGGTGCTAGAGGCACGGGGCTCAGGAAGAGTTTAGGGTTTAGGGTTTAGGGTTTAGGGTTTAGGGTTTAGGGTTTAGGATGCTCAACATCGTTGATGAGCTCAAGAACCACAAGACCAGGCCATTGACCATCATATTACATCCATCTTTCACGATATTCGGCAGAGGATTTCTTGATCCGAACTTGGTTGTGCCTGCCCGTGACCAATTTCTTTCAAACCGACATGCTGTGAGCTTCGGACAATTCCCAGCAGTTAGGGGCAAAGATGAAGCGCAGGACTGGGGCAGCGATTCTGCACCGGAACCCTCAGGCGGCGGTGGTGGTGGTGGGTGGTGGTGGGTGGTGGTGGGTGGTGGTGGGTGGTGGTGGGTGGTGGTGGGTGGTGGTGGGTGGTGGTGGGTGGTGGTGGGTGGTGGTGGGTGGTGGGTGGTGGTGGTGTATGTGGTGGAGTATGCGGTGGTGTATTTGGTGGTTTGGTGTATGCGGTGCTGTATGTGGTGGTGTATGTGGTGGTGTATGTGGGCGTGTATGTGGGCTTCCATGTGGTGGTGTATGTGGTGGTGTATGTTGTCCATGAAGACCACATAATTAGCGCAATTATCCCCCCACCCCACCCAAAACCTGAAAGGGGCCACGAACAGGAATGCAAACACGTGTCATGTATACGACCGAGGCGATGCGCGACACGACATGAGAATTGATGTTTGTTTATTTCTAGTGTTTTTTTTTTGTTTTTTCTATCTCTCTCTCTCTCTCTTGTTATCTTTCTTTCTTCTTCTCTCACTCTCTGTTTCTCCCTCTCTCTGTCTGTCCTTCTGTTTGTTTTTCCTTTCTGTCTCTCTCTTCTTCCTTTGTTGCAAATAGCCTGTATGAGCCAACGCCCGGATGTTTTGCTGGGCATTGCGAAGTCCCACATGGGTGAGACTAGAATCTGCATCTGGGATCATTGCCTCCTAGTTGATGCAACGGTTGGCCGATCGTCCATGCCAAGAGCGAAGAACATCCTCACACATGCCTACAACCTTGTTACAGAATAAACTGGTCTTGTCTGATCAAGTACGCCGCCTGCCTCATCCTCGTTAACTGTCCGCACTGCGAACACTACACCAAGTTCTAAAAGTGACGAGGATACGAAGATGCCCACCTCCCTCATCCTCGTGACTGTCGACACCTTTATGAGGCGTCAACCAAAAGTGACGACAATTACAAGGATGGCGCACCCCAACTGCCTCATCCTCCTCACTGTCAGCACTTTTTAACCCGAAGTCCAAAAGAGACGACGGCTACGAGGATGGCGCGCCCACCTTGCCTGAGGCCTCAACCTCCAAAAGCTACGACAATTTAGAGGATGGCGCATGCGGCCGATACGCGACGCGCGCGAACGCTTTCAAACGCTTTCGGGCGCTAACCTTCAGTGTCCTTCAGACGCTTTCGGGCACTTTCGAACACAAAGCGCACTATGTCGGGAACCTGGAACCACAACTTTGTAATTAAACGGGAACCCTTCTGCTCGGGAAAAAGGAAGTAATTAAGACCGCAAGAAATAGTGTGCGCGAAAACGCACATCCATCCAGGTCCTTTGTTCGGTTCGTGTTGATGATGCCAAAAGCCAAGGTCGGACTTGTGCTTCTCTACGGACGGAGGGTGCGTGCGTGTCTGTGCATTTGTGTGTTCTCCGAGTTTCTGTCTCTTGAGGGGGGAGGGGCAAGCATGTGTCCAACCACACACAAAGAACAGCTGAAAATGCGCTTACGAGCTTGGGGCACATAGGTGGCGTTCCCAAAGTCGATCAGCTTGATCGCGTTGCTGGCTGGTCGAGCATAAGGAAGATTCGCGTATCTGCGCAGGGAGCTCCTAGCTCAGCTCCACAAAATCCCCTCATGATCCCTCATGTCATGTCGAATCTCCTCCACTTTTCACGGATCTATCGGTCAGTTTTTCCTGCCCGGGCCTGCAAACCGCAGAGAAGACATGGTGCACAAACTCTCATACAAGCATGACTGCAAGGAAAAGCACAAAAACTCCTCGACGACGACTACGACTGCTACTACTGCAGCAGCTTTTCCAGAACACGCATAACTCGACAGCACGAGACACAGAAAAAGTTGAGTCATCTGTGCCATCTTCTGGCAGAACAAAAAACCGCCCAGTATTGGGCTTCTGCCCAAACTTCAGCTTAAAGCACCCCCAGGCTTGACCAGTCCGGTGCCAGCGCCATCGGCCCTGAAGCCAGTTCACCAAACCAAACTGTCGGACTGCGACCCCTAATCCCTAAACCTTAAACCCTGTAAACCCTAAACCCCGACGTTGAACTCTCAACCTGGAGTTCCTTCCCCAAAACGAGGGTTTTGGGGTTTGGGGGGGGGGGCCTGAGGGTCTGGCTGGACTTTAGTGCGGAGGCTTCGGTTCAGCTCGGGATTTCAGGGTGCCTGTCCGAGGGTGGCTGGAACTCGGAACGTGGGAAGACGGACACGAGCGCCACCTGCCAGGCTACATCTCTTCTTTTCGGAAGTTGGGCTTCAGGTTTTAGGGTTTAAGGCCTTAGATTTAGATGTCGAGATGTCGTAGCTTTCATGCTACGGTGGGTGAGAAGGCCACCCTTGGTCCCTTGAGATGAAGTTGAGGTCTTGTTCTCATGGTGCCAATTAAAGGGCTTCGGGGGCATCCACCTGCTTTGAGAGAGGGTTTAGGGTTTAGGGTTTAGGGTTTAGGGTTTAGGGTTTAGGGTTTAGGGTTTAGGGTTTAGGGTTTGGGGAGAGATATGGCCCCACTTTTGGTCACCTTTGGCCTGCATCCCTGCTCACGATGAACGGGAAATGCTTCTTAGGGTTTAGGGTTTAGGGTTTAGGGTTTAGGGTTTAGGGTTTAGGGACTCGCGGCCTCCCAACTTTGGAGAGGACGAGCATCATGAAGGTGCTCCGCACCGAGAAGCCATCAACTCTCTCTGAGACTCTCCGGCCTGCCCCAGCCTTTCCCTGGAATTAGGTCAATCAGGGCTTAACAGCTTAAACCATAAACCCTAAACCCTAAACCCTGAAATTAGGTCATTTCCTGTTCCCACATGAGATCACCCACTACTGGCCTCGTCATGCGGAGTTCATTATTCGATTATGCTTTATTGAAATTAGGGCAATCAGGGCTTAACAGCTTCCACACACCTGAAATCTCCCCAAAACCCCTGCCCCCCCACACTTCGGCCTCCCGGCTTTGCAGAAGGATATTTTCAGGCTTCAGATCCTCGGCACTGGTTGTGACGGAGTCGTGCTTAGGACACGGCGCAAAGCGCCTTGAATCCTTCACTCTACTCGCAGCTCGCAACTGCCTTTGGTTTCTACTGCGAGCTTTATAAGGTCCGATTTATGCTTCTGAGTGTATGGCTTGGTGGCTTAGCATCTGAGCTAAGTTGTGTCGTGCTGCTGACAGGAGGATTTAAGCTGATATTTTGGGCTGAGGCTGCTGCGTCGCCCACGGAGCCTGCACCTTAAACTCCCAAAGCCCCTCCTTAACCCTAAACCCTAAACCCTAAACCCTAAACCCCCGAAAAGCCCCAAACTTGTTGACACTCAGACCCGAACCTCACGCTCAACACACTTTGGGGATGCTCGTAGCTGCAGGAGGCAGTTGGGGTCTGCCATCAGCTGACTTTGGCTTAGGGTTGAGGTTTCGGAATGGCTGTCGAACTGAGGGTTTAGGGTTTAGGGTTTAGGGTTTGGGGTCTGGGGTTTAGGGTTTAGGGTAGGCTATGAATTCTGCACCCAGCTTGGAATTTAGGACGAGACTCACACTGACCAAGCAAGCCACACAAACACTGCTCTTACCGAATCATTGTCTCTGTCCTTCTGGCCTGAAGGTAAACTCTGCTTCGTTTAGCGGTTTAAAACTCTTGTTCGCGCACCTAGACCCTAAACTCTGAATCGAAACCCCAAAGCCAGACCTCATGTGCCTTGCTTTTGGCAATTCGAGGCTCCGTGTGCGTCAGGCTGAGATCGTGCAAGAACTTCAGCGCCTGTTTCTGTCACGCTTCGACTCTCCTACCCGCACGTGACGTTCATCACGTTTGGGGTTTAAGGCTTCGACCCTCACGTGCGCACAAACTGATGAGGCATTCCAGGATTCTTTGGGTGCAGGTGATTACCGAAGCACTCTTAAACTCGAAGCCTTAACTGACTAAACCCCTGGGAAAGAGACTCGCAGTAACATGACACCTCAAACCCCCGAGCACAACCCTTGAGAACCCTGAAGCGCGAAGCTATTTCTTTTGGGGGCAAGGCGCTGGGTAAGGTCCAACCCTAAACCCTAAACCCTAAACCCTAAACCCTGCCCACAAAACCGAGTTAGAACCGGGCCGAAGCGGCCTTCAGGCTTTGTTTGGCGAAGTTCTGGATATCTTGGAGCCAGAATCCGCGGAAGCCATTCCACTTCCTAAGGCTGGCTGGTTCTTAGTAGGGAATGAGGGAATGAGGTACCCTATATCATCCCTTAAAAGGGTATACATAGAGCCCTGATTCCCGCATTCCCTACGGTAGACATGCGCTCAGGGCTCCAGGGATCGTAAACAAAGGCAGGACCTTGAGTAACATGGTCCTCGACTCGGCAGAGAGTTCCACTCTACTAAGCACTACAGCAAGGCCTTGCGTAGCTTGGAAGCAGCCTTTCTTACCGCAACTACCTGGGAACTGCCTGGCACACCCAGAGCCCTGAAACCTGTGGGGAATGTGATCTCTGGACCCTCAACTGCAAATTCGACCAGAACATGAGTACCGGCTGACCTGTCTCTAGTTGCAAAACCCAAGGCTCAAGAAATCGTACAAAGAATCACCCAGGAGCTCGCAAACCATGACAAAGTAAACGCCACGATGTACAAATGTATCGGACATCATAACACCTGGGCTCAAGCAATCACACAACTGAGAATCTGTGCCATTAATTGATGCGCATCAAGCGACTTGGATGGCATGTGCCGCGCTTTTTCTAAGCTGCAACACCGAACTCCCAACACCCCCCTTGCTCTCATTTCCAACAAGTCCCACTCCAACCATGTCATTTGCCAGTAACAGTACCAGTGGTAAGAGCAAACCACGTAGACTACATGCGCCTGACTGCGGCTGGTGGCACAATATGACGTCCGATTCGGATCTGCTTCTCGAATATCCTGAGCGATCAGGTGGTTTCTCGCCGGAAGACTTGAAAGGTCTTCGGTCTTCGCACTCCAGACCTTGCAAAGGGGCCTCCTACTCCTGCCTCCTGCCCCATACCCAAGCCTCGGTGGGCCCTCTGCCAAAGTCGTTGGGCAGTATTTATGAAGGGTCCGACAGCAAAAGCTCCAAGTCTTCCAAGCCCTCGGCCCTGCAAACACCTTTCTTTCGGTTCAGGGATAATAAGGTTGTGTCGGGTAACCACTCTTCATTCCCTTGCAAAACAGATTCGTTCTGTTGTCGCCAGAATCTGTGCCTTCAAAAGACTTTTGTCATGGTGCTTCGTTGACTACGTTTGGTGTGCTTGGTGCAAGGCATCCCAAATCCTGCCAGAGGTTGCAAAGGGCCTTAGTAATCATTAGAACGGGGTTTTGGGTGTTATTCTAGTATATGTATAAAGGGACCATAAGGCCATAAGGCAACACTATTCGTAACTCTTCCGACCCCTAGATTAAATCCCAAAGCCCCGTATCCTGGCGGGCAAGCAAGCTGCGGAGAGGATCTTGGCCTCGATCATGGCGTTCTCTCGGTACCTCTCCACGTCCTCACTCGGAGTTGGGCGCAAGATGGAAGGTTTAGGGTTTAGGGTTTAGGGTTTAGGGTTTAGGGTTTAGGGATACTAACAGCTCCTTAGTCGGGATTCGAAAGCCCCCTACCATAAGCTTTAATAATGAAGTACCGTTAGACCGTAAGTATAAGGGGGGACATCACTCACTCCACAGCCAATCCCACCCGGCCTGCGTGGCGATTTTGGGCTTCGGGTGTGGGGTGTAGACCTAAACCCTCAACCCTAAACCCTCAACCCTAAACCCTAGGCCCTAAGCCCTAGACCCTAAACCCTAAACCCTAAACCCTAAACCCTAAACCCTAACGAGAATCGTTAACCTTCAGCTTCCACCCTAAACAACACATGCGCGTCACCATGGGCTGCTCAGGCACTCGGATGACCTTCAGGGAGACACCCGCCTCATCCTGCAAGTGCTACGGGGTTTAGGGTTTAGGGTTTGGCACGCGCTCTCTAGGGTTTAGGGTTTAGGGTTTAGGGTGTAGGGTGTAGGGTGTAGGGTTTAGGGTTTAAGGTTTAGGTTAGGGTTTAGGGCACAGAGGCACGTCACACGGTCTTGATCGCTTACACCCGGACAAGCCCGGCAAGGCTGCAAAGTGCTAGTCGCGTGCACGCACTCCAAGATGTTAACTGTAACCTTGCAGCACCTTGTGCGGCAGCTTTGCGCAACTTTAACGACAACAGCTCACGATTGCAGACATCTTCAAACCTCGCAACCCACAAGCTTCTCGATTCTCACAGCTCAAGCATGTTCGGCACATTCAATCCTGCAACTGTCACTTCTATCCTCCCCTTAGAACCTTAATAAAAATCATATTCTCAACATCCTCTTGGGATTTATATAAACAAAAATAAACATAAATAAACAAAATAATTCCCAGGGGGGATGTAGAATTGGGGCAAGAGCCCCAGAAGAGCTCCACAGATGCACCCACCTGCAGGTCCGTGGCGCGCAAGACGCGGCCAAAAGCCCCATCGCCCAGAAGGTCTTCCTGTGCCACTGGGTCTACCCAGATCTTCCAAAACCTTAAGGTATATACCCTAATTCCTAATAAGGATCCTTAGCATAAACTAGGGCATATTCCTTAATTAAGGGCTTTTGGAAGATCTGGGTCTATGTAGCTTGCTGTGTAGTGCTGCGATGCATAGGTACTGTAGGTGCTCAGGCCGTTCTTTTGCTTCTCGGGGACTTTCTGCTCTGAGCTCCACCTTGAAATTCTGAGATACCCTAAGCATGCTTAGCCTAGAACACATGTCCATCGGCCTGAAAGAAACTGAGCACCCCAGTCCAGGACTAGCCGCATCGCTCAAGCTACAAGGATGAGTGCCCTTTCTTCAAAAGAACGATTTTCGGCTTTAGAGCGCATTGACCTTGTGGTACTCTTGTGTTCCAGGCGCTCAACCTGGGTTCATGCCTGATAGGCCCCAAAAGCCTTCCCTCTACATGACAAAAGACAAACTCCAACCATTCAGTTCTACGCTTCCGCATGTCACTGAACAAAAACTCTCATCAAGAGACGTTATTCGAGAAAATCTTCAAAACCTCAAGCCCCGAGATGCCAAAATTCCAGATCCGCAAATCCTACAAAAACTTAGGATTTAGGGTGTAGGGTTTAGAACGTTTAGGGCCTGCATAAATCGTAAATCTCTACACGCTCAGATATTCCATTCCAGCGAGGTGGCCACGCGGTATCGGCTGTCCTGAGCTTGGTGCCCCATGGTGCTCCGAAATTGCGCGGGAGGATGTTCAAAAGAATTGTCAGAATTTGTTAGGCCTTGAGGTGCTTATCGTTTGTCTGTGCGCTTGGAGGTCTGGGTTTTACGCGTTGCATGGGAAGCGGCAGCATGGCATCGACAACAACAGCCCCATCCTGCCTTAGACTAGTTTAGTGAGTCCCAGCGATCTTGTGCGAGCAAGGGGGTGCAACACATCCACGCCCTGCGCAAGACCTTTGCAGTCAATCTTGTAGAATTATGGTGGATGCATATTCTGACCTTCGTAACCCCAAACCTGTTTGCAAGCGCTCGAGGATTAGCTGGCCCTTAGGATTGGGGGAGGGGTCCGGTCGGATTCAAGCTCAAGGGCCTCCGCTTCTCAAGCCTTCGTGTCTTCCCAAACACCCACAACGGTCGTGGTTTTAGTTCTAGAGGCTATGACTGCTGTTCAGGAATTGCTTTGCGAGCAGTGCAGCAGAGCAGCCAGAATCTGTCCTTGCTGCCAAGGGAAGTGGATGATGTCGTCATCCGAGTCAGCCTGACAGCTGATTGGGCTGACAAGCCTCGCATTGGCGCGTGTGTGTTGGTCCTCTGGCCCTCATTTTGCACTGCAAGCCAACGAACGAGATCACTGCTGGTCTGGACGACCCTGATGTTCCTTTCTGTTCCCATGATCTGTTGGCGTGGCCATCAGGAGCTCAGAAGTAGGGGCATACAGGGGCCCAAAAGCCACATATACATAAGTTTCTACAAAAGAGGAAGTTTTCCGGAATCCCCCTATCGCAGGATTTATGTGGCTTTTGGGCCCCTAAGTAGAGGCATGCTCTGAAGAGAGGTCCTTCGCCTGTTCCAGCCCTTCTTGTGCCCAGCAGCCGTTTCGGGTTTAGGGTTTACCTGGGGCCCTCTTTCTTTACCTGCAATTTGGGCTATACCTACGAATTAAGTGTAGTTACTACTCAACTGTAGGTAAACAGAGTCCCAAGTAGGGTTTAGGGAAGATCTAGTTTGAGGGTGAAGCAGTTGCTGCATCGCCCCGCTGGGGAAGCTTGTTCTGAGGACTCGGTCAGCAAAGTGTATTCCCGTCATTTTAAATTTCAATTAAGTAGATGTCGAACCAAATTCCCAAAACCCCAACCAACCCCGGTCTTTCATGGGACAGTCTTCAAAGAAACTGACCGTCTGCCCTCTTCACATTCCGGCATCGTCAAGGCCATAAGGACGCGCGCGTAAGCTTACCCTAAACCCGAAACCCTAAACCCTAAACCCTAAACCCTGAACCCTAAACCCTAAACCCTAAACCCTACACCCCAACTTCCAGCCTGCACGTCCTGCTGCTGCTGCGGTTCGTCTGCGTCGTCGCCGGCTTGTCGAGGAGTGCGGCTCCGATCCGACATTGGTGCTGGAAGAACAAGGCGACCCCACCACCCCTAAAGCGGCTAAACCCTAAACCCTAAACCCTAAACCCTAAACCCTAAACCCTAAACCCTAAACCCTAAACCCTAAACCCTAAACCCTAAACCCTAAACCCTAAAGCGGCTGATTAGGCTTTAGGCTTTAGAACTGCAAAAGATGCTTGCAGTCAAGAGAAGGGTCAACGTCTTTTTGGGAGATAACTTGTTGAGCAACTGCTGCCAATCACTTAAGCATCTGGATGCCGGTTGTATCAGTTTGCGTACAAGTAAAGCTTGGCGGCTCGTTCTCTGATGCCTGCTTCGCCCCATCGGGGTCTACTGACTGCTATGTTCCAATCTTGGAGTTTGCATGGGGATCAGCTGCAGTCCAATTCAGCTTGGATAGGCGCATGGTTTGGTCTAGAGTGGCGGCCAATGCCCGTTGGGAGGGCTGCTGAGATTGCGAGCGTGGCAGGCGCTGGAGTCAGCTAGCAAGCAAAAGCCTCAGATAACCAACCATCTGAAACTGCTGTGAACTAACTGACTAGCGGAACCTCTTGACTGCTTCCTTGTGGGGGTCATATTAAAAATTATCATTTTTGTTCCTTATTGGGAATTTAATAGGACAAAAAATGTAAAATTCTAACCAACAGGGACCCAGTTGAGTCATGCATCTCCTTGAAGCGAAGCCACGGACCCGGAATCACAATCTCGCCCCCCCGAACACCCCCAAAAAGGTACCAAAGATCCTTGGTTGCATCCAAACAAAGCCCTGACCCCTTAAACCTAAGTGGAATTTCACCCGCGGAGCTCGAGACCAGGGGTGCGAAGCCTCCTATTAACTCCATTTGGGGTTCGCCCCGTGGTTTTTCGGAATGCTCTGGGACTCGACTCAAGACGTGTTAAGCTCAAACCCTGTCACCCTATCACCTTTAAACCTGCGGCCCGCCTCAGCAAGCTGCTCCTGCAGGTGCACTTCTCTGGGATGGCCCCTTAAACCCTCTGAAAAATATTCCTGAATATGACCCTACACCCTAAACCCTAAATCCTAAACCATGATCCTCTTAAACCCAGTAAGGGAAAGAATCCCAAGGGCCTACCTAGTTTTTCAAGATTTGAGGTATGAATCCCGTTCAGCACGAAGGTATGACTTAGGGCGGGGGACTTTGAAGCAAGCACTGCCGTCGGGGACTCACGCATTCTTGAAAAAGCGGCTGCCAACCAATGTCCGAAACCCTGCTAACCGCTGTAGGTGATGATTTCAAATCGCCTGCAGCCAAAGGCCTTTCAAACCCAAACGTACGTGGTGGATCATTCTTTGGCGGGTGGGTGGCGGGGAGCTCCCCCTGTGCTTTGCACGCCGCAGTTTTGGGTGGCCAGTGGTCTCGCTCGCTCTTGCTTGCTTGGAGATTGAAGCCGTCACACTACCGAACGTTCGACATATAGCTGCACTTAGGACCCAAGAAAAAAACCCTATGGTACCCTATAAGTGGGTTCTAACTACACTAATCATTGGGTTACGAAGCATCATCCTCGGCCGAAGTTCTCTGCTTTCCTAAACCCTAAACCCTAAACCCCAGCGGGCTTCCCTCTTCCAATTTGCCAAATGCCAGCTCACACTCTGCCCGAGCTGGGACTTCGCACCTTTGCATCCCCAAGCGGACCCTAAAAACGAGACGCCCGTCCCGGCCCCTAAACCCTAAACCCTAAACCCTAAACCCTAAACCCTAAACCCTAAACCCTAAGCCCGGCCTGAGGAGGTTGGTAATGAGGTCTTTGGCCATCGCCATGGCCCCTGCCTCAAGGCCATCGCCGAGGCCTCTTACGGAGGATTTGGAGACCTTTACAGAAGGTTCAGGGTTTAGGGTTTAAAATTCAGGGCTTAGGGTTTAGGATGTTCCGTGGGCTTGGTTTCTTTTGCCTTTTATGAGGGATGGGCTTTAGAGTTGGCACACCTTAGGGCGACCCGTGCTTCTAGCTTGAATGGCCTACATTCGAGTGCACACTCGAGCCGTCTACCCTCAGCTGCAGGCTTCGTTCAAGCCGCCCCTTCTTCATCAACCGAAACACCTGCACATCCAAACTCGGGCAAGCTCAGCCGAACCTTCAGCCTGAACAAAAAACTGCGACATAAACGTCTGGCCAAATAACCCGTCCAAGTGGGGGCAATGAGATCGGTGTCCGCGACTCCTTGAGCTGCCACTGCAAAGTGAAGCAGGGCGCACAGAGCTTCAAGCCCATGCCCCGAAAACCCGAAACCGAGATGCCAAACAGCACAACCTGCCCAGAGCCCGAACAGTGCCTCAAGCGGCCCCAGCAAACTGAGCTAGTTTGCTGCCACCATGCCAACAACGTATCTGGCTAAAGGCATTCTTTTTGTCAGGCGTTTATCTGAATTGATACCGGTTGAGACCCTGCACTTACTAGCAAGGCACAGGCGTGGGCTGTCCGCGTGGAAAGTTTGCATCTGGGTTGCGAGCGGAAGGACTTCGGTAGGTTGTCTCGGGCTAGTTTGGATGTGCCGCATGGGTGAGGCTCTGTTCGCCGAATCCCTAAACCCTAAACCCTAAACCCTAAGTCGCCGAAGCTCATCTTTGAGAGGCAGGCGCACAGGGCACATTGGGTGAAAGGGAGCCTTGATGAGTCGAACCCTAAAACTCATGGGGTTTAGGGTTTAGGGTTTAGGGACGCAACTCCTGAAAGCCTGGCATTAGCAACTCATTCCCAAAGCCAGAACCCTTCCCTGCTGCTAAGCGTTACGAACTTGCGTCGGTCGGAGCAGACCAAACATATGCTTCATATGCTCAAGGCAGGTGGGTTAGGCCCATCTTGGGCTGCGAGGGTTGAGAATCTTCCGTCCTCTGGACACCGCATGTTAACCCTTTCTCGCTCCCAATTGCCCTAAACCCTACACCCTTTTGCCACTGGCCTACACCCTAAACCCTGAACCTTTGAGACCGGTGCACACAGCTTCTGTACTCGTAAGTCCTTTTCACCGCTCGTGGCTCCTCCGTAAGTCTGCGAAGTGCTACCATGCACAATGTACAACTTGATCCTTGTTCGCATAAGCATTCCGGGGTGGCCTAGAAACCTCATGTTCGTCGCTGACAGGGAGGGCTAACATGTTTACCGGGTCATCGTCCTTTTGTGCATCCAGCCCTGCGTTTCTGCTGGGACACGGCCCGGATCCCCTAAACTTTGCCCCAGGTTAACTCTACTGTGCAAGCCCTCTGTCAGATAACTTTTTTTGGGCTCGATTCAAGTTCGACTCGAGGGATTTGGGAGGGAGTGCCCCCTTCGAAACCCAAGGCATGACTGCAAGTACCCTCACCTACGGCTAGCTGACGAGCATGGCAGCTCTCTAACTCTGTTTGGCTGACAGGTGCCCAAGCCTCAGAGAGATGTCTTGAGCTAGTTCACCCAGGACCGGTTCAACTCCTGAGATGTCCATGTCAGCTGTTTCTCCTAAGTCTGAAGGAGCTTACAGTGGCTGAAACACCACCAACGCTGCACGGCCAGCTCAAGCAAGGAATGGATTCAGGGTTTAGGGTTGATTCTAGCTGCCAGTACCTGTGCACCTGTACACCTTGAACCACGCGCCAAGCCTTCCTAACAGTTTAACATCTGAGCCTCTGACTTCTTGTATACTCCAAAATACTATATAATCCTTTTTAAGGAGCCCCCCAAGAAGAGGTTGTCCCTATTTTCGGAAACCCCACATCTGTAGAACCGCTAAAACCCCAATCCTCTCCAGCACCTGTGTGCCTGATGACCGGCATGATTTTTTTGTGTGTGTGTGTGTGGCAAGGAACAACAAAACATGATAATAAACATAGAAGTGAAAACATATGATGATGGTGATGATGATGATAATAGTAAGAATATTACTCACAATACTAATAAGAAGAATAAGAATATTAATAACAATAATAATAAGAAGAATATTAATAACAAAAATAATAAGAAGAATAAGAATAGCAATGCTAATGCACCTGAGACTCCTTCTGCTGTTTGCGAACTTCGGCTGGACCCCCACGCTTGAAAGCCTCGACCAAGACCTTCACGTCCGCCTCACCCGGAAAAAAAAAAAAAAAAAAAAAAAAAAAACGGTCTAGGGCTTCTGCAGCACCATCTCCGAAGAACGGTTTAGGGTTATGGGGTTTAGGGTTTCGGGTGGGCTTTTATTTGGGGCTGCAGGGCTTGGGGGGCTCAGGCTGGCCCTTGAAAACATGGTTGTCATGGATGGTCCGGGCTCGCCAGATCATGAGGACCAGAAGGAGGAACGCCAGAGGGGTCATTTCGACTGAGCAACCCTTGGCTCGTCCTAAGAGGCTTCACTAGATCTAGGAATCTGGGATGTCGGATGTCGCCAACTTCGCGTTCAGCGACGCCCCCAATGTATACTAAGCAGGCAAGGCAACCCCGAAACCTTGACCCGCATAGATGCCGCGTAAACCCGAAGGAAGCCCTCGTCCAAAAGAGTGGGGAAGGTTCGAAGGCACTCACTTACTGGTATACCGACACTAGAGTTCTGGAAGGTTTAGGTCTTGGGCCTTGAGCCTTGAGGCGACAGCAAATGTTTTTTTTGTTCAGCTGATGAAAAATTGCGGCTAACTCGTGAACCTCTCTCACCCAAGCCCTGACTCGTTCATCCCCCACATCTTCCTCAAGTCCCTAGCTTGCCTCGGCCCTTGTCCGGTCGATCCTGCAACAAGAGGCAGCTAAGGGTCGGGCTTGGACTTTGGTTACTTGACTCCCCCAAACCCAGACTAAACCCTAAACCCTAAACCCTAAACCCTAAACCCTAAACCCGAAACCCTGGACCCTAAGCTCCAAACCGTCCGTCAACAATCACTGAAAAACCATCCACTGTCATTGGGTGGGCCACCGTCCGTTCAGGCAGGGACATCCCAAGCTCTTCCCATGTGGTTCACGCTTTGATCTGAGGTCGGCAACGCCGAGCTGGCCCCAAACCCTTCTTGTCAAGAGCTTAGAACCCAGATCTTCCAAAATCCCTTAATTAAGGTATATACCCCAATTCATAATAAGGATCCTTAGTATAAACTCGGGTATGTTCCTTAATTAAGGGGTTTTGGAAGATCTGGGAATCAGAAAGTCGGCCAAGCTACGTCAGCTACGTGCAAGCATTCCTTTGGCCGCCTGCTTAGTTGGGAACATGTATCTTCCCCCAGACGAGCCTCTTGAACCTAATTAAAGCCTGAGGCCCGGTGACCAGAAACATGGCCTGTGAGCTTATGGCCGCGCTCTTGCCCCATTGCCAGAATCCTTGCCCGAAACCATAAACCCTTAACCAAAACCCTAAACCCTAGAACCCTCAACCTAAACCCTAAACCCCAAACCCGAAACCCCAAACCCTAAACCCTAAACCAGAGGTCCACGCCTGTTGGGCCCTCGGATCGCCGTGAGCCCACGCTTGCCGAGGGGCCCCGAGCCGTTCTCTCGCGGAACATTCACCTTCCAAGAAGGATTTGATAACTAAACCCTAAACCCTAAACCCTAAACCCTAAACCCTAAACCCTAAACCCTAAACCCCAAACCCCAAACCCCAAACCCTAAACGATTTTGGAGACAATTTGAACCTTAGGGACCACATGAAGCCTAAACAGGGCTTAGGGCTCATATACCTTAATAGGAATTACAGTAGTATAGGGTAGATGACCACAATCCTTAGGGTTCATCCTCCCCAAGGAAGAAGCCCCCGAGCTTTAGGTGCATGGGAATGCCTCTGCTCGGTAGGTCAGCTCGCCACCTCTGGGGAAGTGGGGATGTGGAGTCGTAGAGTGGGATGGGGACGGCTGTTGGTTCCAGTTGGGGGCAGGTTGCTTGGGGACAGAAGACGGACGACACCAGGTATATTTGAGCTGAGCACCTACATTAAGACGCTTGCGGCTCTAACAACTGGCAGCAGGTGTGAGAACATGTGCATCGAGAGAGCTTTAAGGTGTTTCCAGGTTCTGGTCCTGGGGCCACTCGGGGCGTCAGCAGGATACCAGCACGAGCAGGAGCAGGAAAGCAGCAGGACTTTTGAAGCGCTTTGAAAGACAGACTTTAGATAGTTCGCCGCCGCACAGCTGAACTGCGCCGCAGTGGCTTCGGGCAACGGACCTTCCGGGTTTGAGATTTAATGCTTCCGGATCCAGGGTCTCAGGCCGAGAGGTTGGGCATCTAAGACCTTCAAAGAGCCCCGAACTGAGGCGGAGCGTGTCTTGCCCCAAATTTAACCACACTGTATGGAGAGCAGTGAGACATCATGTGGACACGCCAGAGCATTCTAACGGATCAAGGGCACCAAGCGCCCAGAAGACCAAAAGTGCGGACGATTTCGCATTTCTCGACTCGAGCCCAGACATCCCAAAGCGACGACAGCTTCGCATTTCGCGAGCCCACACGTCCAAAAGCGATGAAAGTTTCAAGAACGCCGAGCGCGGCCACACCCGCCTGAGGCGAGCGCGTGATTTTCGTCCATTCAAAATGCGAGCTGGGTTGGGCTTACCGCACGGCCGCATCGACCGTGCCCCTCCCTCTCTACGTTGGAACCCTGTAATATTGACACACTTGCCGGGGAAAATGAACGTCACAATGCAAGGGGCGCCCTCTCCAATCTTAGGCCCGCCGCTGGATCTGGGAATGCCGTCGATGACCGTCGTTGTGATTTCTGACTCGTTCCCATCGCCATCAGTTGCAGACACCGTCTCCTGCGCAGGGGTCAGATGCGGCTGTTGGAAGGGATTCGCGGCTTGAGGTTTTGTGCTGAAGGTTTAGAAGTATGTTGTAGAAGCCCAGGGTTGCTCCAGCATCAGACACAGGCATAGTGGTGTAGTGGCTTAGGGTCGGGCACAAAGGTTGCGGTTGCCACATCACCCCTTGCGCGGCATTTTTAAAACTCAGACTCCTTGTGAAGCAATGGCCTAAGGACACCGAGCCGCTGTGCGCCTTCCATAAACTTTTCCGAGCCTCCAGCTCGTAACTCCTTGAACGCACGAGCCCCAAAACAGCCGAAACGTCAAGCCGCAAACCTCCAAGTCCGTTCTCTCTCCTTCTCCCTCTCCTTCTCTTCTTCTCACATATACACCCACACCTCCGAGTCCGTTCTCTCTCTTTCTCCCTCTCCTTCTCTTCTTCTCACATACACCCACACATGGGCCACTTCAAGGGCCGGCATGGGCGGGTCATTCCGGACTCGTTGGCAGGTGGTGCCCAACTTGTTTTGCATCTGCATGCATGTCCCGGAATAGCATACACGACACGACGTTACAATACCAAGCTTCAGGAATTCCTTACACCCTAAACCCTCTACCCTAAAACCTTTCTGAGACCAAGGATTGGGAAGTGACATGGACCGTCGAAGTTCCTGGCACTGTCCGCCTGATCATGGCAAAAGGCGTTACGGCCACGATTGTTTCGGGCAGTACCTTGAGAACCAAATGAACGCTAGAAGGGTTGATGGTTCATTTATACCCTAATAAGGATTATAGTAGTATAGGGTATACGGTTCCAATCTTTGGGTTCATTTAATCCCAAGGCAAGGCGGAACATCGGCTCAATTGTGAGGTGCAGCATCAAAGTTGCTCATGGTCTCCTTTGGAAGGAGGAGATGTACGTGGAACCATCTTGACCAGTTGCTGGTTGCCAGAGGGAAAGGCCGTTCCTGACCCGACTGGGCCTGTAGGGGAAGGTGGTGTCGGGACCAGGGTTGACGTCGAGGTCCCAGGGCACACCCCTCTTGGATGGGAAGGGTCGAGTGAGCAAACCGTCGCAGGACCGAAGGGCTTCATGCCAAGAATGTGGCCGGATAAACAACATGAGTTCATCCTTGGAAGTCTGCCACCGCAGAAGAGCAGGTGAGAAATGAGTGCAAGGGACCGTGGTCATGTTGTGGGTTCGGCACGAACAGCACACCCGATCGTTCTCTTGCCCACCAGGGCACTGTGAATGCTAATTAGTCAATGTCCACAATGTCGTTGACAACGGCAATCGCTGAGATAGCTGGCTCTCACTACACTTAACTCCAAAAAGCTGGAACATCCTTATCACCCTGCCCCAAAAGGTACACTAAAGGGAATCCTAGCTCCACTCATCCATTAAACCATGTTCCAACTTTCTGGAGTTTACTCTGTGCCAAGTACTCTTTCGGGCCTCTCCCCTCGCGCAAGGGTGGAGGCCACAACTGGTACCAAAAAACGGAGTCTCCCTGAACCCTAAAACCCTAAAACCCTAAACCCTAAACCCTAAACCCCTAAACCCCTAAACCCCCAAGCCCAAGCCGCGATTAAAAAGCCCAAAGCACTGCATCCGCAACTTCAGCCCCCAGATCTTCCAAAGCCCATTATAATAAGGTATATTTCCTAATTCTTAGGGTTTAGGGTTTTAGGGTTTAGGGTTTTAGGGTTTAGGGTTTAGGGTATGAACTAGGGTATATACCCTAATTCATAATCAGGATCCTTATTATGAATTAGGGTATATATACCTTATAATTATAAGGTATATCCCCTAATTCTTAGGGTTTAGGGTTTAGGGTTTTAGGGTTTTAGGGTTTAGGGTATGAACTAGGGTATATACACCTTAGTTCAGGGGCTTTGGAAGATCTGGGTCCATGGCCTCTTTCATCGGCTCGGCGTCTCGGCGCGGGGACCGCCGAGGCCTCCAGAGTGTCGAGGCTTCCCTTGAAAAAAATAACATGAACCCTAAGATTGGGGTTTAGGGTTTAGGGTTTAGGGTTTAGGGTTTAGGGTTTAGGGTTTAGGGTTTAGGGTTTAGGGTTTAGGGTTTAGGGTTTAGGGGGTCATACTCTAGACTACTTGAATTCCTACTCTAAGGCAATAGGAGCTAGAATGAGCCTCTTTTGGGGTTCCTGTGGTCCCCAAGGTGCAAAGAATGAGCAAGGCCCTAGGCCCTTCCCAGATCTTCCCAAACCCCTTAAGTAAGGAAGATACCCTAATTTTTACTAAGGATCCTTATTCCGAATTAGGGTATATACCTTGATTAAGGGGTTTTGGGAAGATCTGGGCTCCTTGCCAGCGATGCTAGGACTCGGTGCCGTTGCTGGCTGAAGTGGACGGAAGTAGAAAAGGAGTATAGTTTTGTGTGCCTTGTTTGTTTGGAACTGTTTTTTTTCAGGCCTTGCTTGTTCCTCCTTTGACTGCTGGAGAGGCACCGCCAGAGGATCCCGCAAAGTATCTTTCACACTGGTCAAGAGGGGATAGGTGAGGACGCAAGAAGCAGATAACCTGTTTTATCATTGCTTGCCATCCTTCTTTGTCAATTTTTCCTCTGTCTTTCTTGCACAACGACGAAAGAATCATGAAGTCATCAAGATACAACATCTGTCAAACACAGAGCCCCGAAGAACCATGGTTTGGAAAGGTTGAGGAAAGATTGGATTGCAACCTTTGTCCAAACCCCGGGTCCACAAATGATTGCACCCTGCACCCTGAACCAGCGCCTCCTCACCTGCACCTCATTTCCAATCCGACTTAGAGGCTCAACGTGACAAAGTTGGGGTCTTGCCGAGCCGCGGAGGACTGGGCGCGCGCCGCCGCGGACTGGGGGAGCGTCGCCGCGGGCTAGGAGAGCGCCGCCGCGGGCTGGGCGAGCGCCGCCGCGGGCTGGGGGAGCGCCGCCGCCGAGGAGGAGTTGGGCTGCGCCGCCGCCTGAGGCTCAGGTCGATGTCAATGGATGCAGTTTACGGTCGCGCCGATGCACAGCCCTCGCGAGCATGTGATGATTTCCATCCGTCCTCTTTAGTACTCCGAAACCCGCTAGCACAGATGTCACAAGCTTAGATCCCGGGCCGGGGTGGACTGCGTCGCGGCGGTGTCCGCCGTGGCGGCGTCCGCCGAGGACCTCGGGACGTAGTTTTAGAGTTCGGGGTCCTTTTGACGTTGGCGAGAATGTATGGTTTAAGGCGTTGTAAAACAATTCTTGCCTCAACATCGTCTCAGGGCTTCGGAAGTGTATCTGCACCGAAGCATCCTACACCGGACACATCACTACTACAGATGGAACCTCTGGTTTAGGGTTTAGGGTTTAGGGTTACACCTAGCCCCTCCAAGGTGCCTCGGCTGTATCGGCGCCCGCTGCGGCTTCGCGAATCCCGAGCCATGGCGCTTGGAGTTTCCCAGTTACCCAGCAAATACGCCTGAAACATTGGAAAGCATCCCTAAACCCTAAACCCTAATTGAACCCTAAATCCTAAACCCTAAACGCATGACTGGAGCTTGCCCGCAATCTTAAGTCTCATAAGAGCCTATGGCTTTTTTTCTCCATCCTCGGGCGACGCTGTTGACATAAGCAGTTCTCTCCCGCATGCATGGCCGAGTGGGAAGGTTTCACCCTAAACCCTAAACCCTAAACCCTAAACCCTAAACCCTAAACCCTAAACCCGTGCAACTTCTGTGCAACTATGGATCCACCTTAACCACATGTCAGGCCTGATAGTCTGCGTGTCAGGGCTGCCCCCCCCATCGAAGGAGCCGGATCCTGTGAAGCCATGCCTGAGATATGAGGCGAACACCAGCAATTTAGGGTTTAGGGTTTAGGGTTTAGGGTATAAGCCAGCTCAAAACCTTTCAGCACTTGCTTGCGGTCCCCATATAAGCCCTTTTTTTGGCCACTGGACTTGAACCCTAAACCCCTTTTTGCACCTGAATCTTGGGCAGTCGGCCCTAAACCCTCAACCAGCTAACGCCAAGGTTGATGACAATGCTGGCCAGCGCCGCTCAATCTTTCTGGTATGTTGAGGCTGTCGGGACCGCAACTGTTGGAGATTTTTATAGGGGGGGTACTAGAATCCCTACTAAAGACTGTTCGTATAAGGGGGAGCATCCCAAGTTTAGGGTTTAACCAGATCTGGAAAGCAAAGAAACATAAGAACCAGAGAGGTGTTGGAATCCATTCAAGTACCATCGGGATCGACGGCCGACACCTACAAGTACAATACCCAGATCCGGTGTTGAACCCAGATCACTCATCGACCGGTCGGGCCTGTGATCCTGAAAAGTTCCGAAGTCGGAGGTCTGAAGGACTCTGGTGTCAACTGCTTTAAGGCTTTCTGGGTGTGGGAGAGGGTTTTGGATTTGGGTGACTAAGGATTTTAAGCTGAGCAGGGTCCTCATTTAATAACAAGAACAGCTGCCAAGTGATTTGTATCCCTCAGGAAAGTGTGCTTTTTTGGGCAGCCAGGGTCTGCCTCCAAAGCCTGAAAGCAAGGGCCCAAGGCGTGACCTTGCAGCAGCAGGGAGTTTGCCTCAATACATCTTTTGCAGCTCCTCCGCCTCCCCCCCCACCCCCCCCCCCCCCCCCCCCCCCCCCCCCCCCCCCCCCCCCCCCCCCCCCCCCCCACATTTCTCCACCAACCCTGCGCCGCAACCGTTTATGTACAAACGCGCATGCTCATATTCCAAGGCTTTGGGGAAAGGCGGATGGATGGCCGGAGCTTGTGAAGTGGTCATGGCACTCACTGTTCCGGAGCAACTATAGCAAACGATAGTCTACTATTTCCTTAAGAAGCCCCCAAAAATAAGAAGACTGTTTCTTATAAGGGCAATGTAGGGGCTATTCTTTTCATTTCTTTTCTTTTTTTTTGGGGGGGGGGGAGGTTCTTAAGCCAATAGTAGTAGTAGTGGTGGGGCCAAAGCCAGCATCCATCCCAGCTGTGTATGCTTTGCACAGCATGGCGGTCCTTTGTACATGCCACGCCTCTCCGAGCAAAGGCATGGGATGGCGGGGGTTTCATGCCCATGTGGCCTCGGCCTATGAGCGCAGTTGTTTAGGGTTGAGGGTTTAGGGTTTAGGGTTGAGGGTTCAGGGTTGAGGGTATAGGGTTGTTTGGAGCTCAGGAGCAAGCAGCTCTACAAAGCTTGAAAGTTGCTTCTCGGAGTCTACTAGGTTGCCCAGTATCCTAAGATTCAAAGGGGTGCCCTTTTTTGCTTAAAGGGGTTATAAGGGAACCTACCCCCCCCCCCCCCCCCCCCCCCCCCCCGCGCCGAAACAAGTGAATAAGGGCACTACTGGGCATCCTAGTCTAAGGGTCATGTCCAGCATACCCTGAGGCATTGCATGCGCAGAAAGAGCGGCGCTTCAGCCCCCCCGCTAGGCCCGTCCAACCAGGGTTCGCAAAGTTGGTGCCTCGCCTCACCAGCAGGGCTGGTTGATGGCTGGCATGAAAACTTGAGGTTCAGGATGGTATCCGAGCAGGATCAGGGTTTAGGGTTTAGGGTTTAGGGTTTAGGGTTTAGGGTTTAGGGGGATCACCAACAGCCTGTAGGGGTCTTATGTCCCTTCTGTTCTCTAGTTCACTGTTCATTTCTCGTTGCTATTATCTGAAGGTCTTCGGTTCTTCGTAGTTACCTTTCTTCCCACATATCTGTATGTCTTGATTCTCGGTATGCCATTCTGTATCTTTCGCTTCATTTCCTTCTTTCCTTCCTTGTCCTAGTTTCGACTTGCTTTTGATCCTTATCTCATCTTGTTGATACCCATCCCAGGCTCCCCGAGCGACACGACAAGAAAAGCAAGAGGCAAATCCCTGAATCCTCGAACACACCGAAACGAAGCCGAAATCCCCAAGCATGACGAAAAGCTGACATCCCTGCGCAAAAAAAAAACATTGAGTTCAAAGGTCGCAGCTCCCAAACCTAGGAAATCCAACACAAGAGATGGATCTCTGTACCTCCGAAACTAAATCTCATGCATCCACCCAACCTTGTGGGACTTGTGGGATTAAGGTTCCCACCCTAAACCCTAAACCCTAAACCCTAAATCCTAAACCCCTAAACCCCCAACAAGCCCTGCCTTCATTGCTGGGCTTCTTCTTCTTCTTGGACTTGTTCTTTTTCTTGGGCTTCTCGCCCTCGCTGCTCAGGAAGCCTCCA